CTTCACTGTACAAGTAGACAACGGACTTTCGACGGTTAAACAAGTGACGGCGGGAGTACCGCAGGGCTCGATCCTGGGACCATCCTTGTTTAACGTCTACATTCACGACATACCCACTGACGCCGACACAACGTTACTGACGTTTGCTGACGACACTGCCATATACAAATCATCACGATCACCGACGCTACTGACTACAAAGATACAGACACACATAGACAAGCTGATGAAATATACTGACAAATGGCAGATTAAAATCAATCCGCAAAAGACGGAGGCAATTTTATTTACAAAGAGCCAAAATGCCATGACTAGACTGACTGACTTGGACAAAATTAAAGTATTGGACTGTGAAGTTGAGTGGTCGAAGGATGTCAAATACCTTGGTGTGACCCTGGACCATAGACTCAGCTTCACAAAACATATTAATACAAAAATTGGACAGGCTTACGGGATGTTGAATCTACTGAGACCTCTCTTGAACCAGAACAGCCCGCTAAGCGTGAAGAACAAGCGAACACTTTACTTGACACTAATAAGACCGATACTGACATACGCCGCTCCGGCATGGAACGCGACGACTAAGACTAACTTACGAAAACTACAGACATTACAAAATAAGACACTACGACTCGTACTCAACAAAATAAGGAACCCACTGACTAGACATTACTACTCTTCAAAATACATACACAAACAGACTGACTTACCGACCATAATAGACTTTATAAAAAAGCTCACTGAGAATTTTTATCTAAAATGTGGGGATCATCCTAATGTTAACATCGCGGGCCTCGGCCAATACACAAGAGACGATATTTGGTATGGCAATCACGCCATGCCAAAATATATACTGATTGACCCATAGCGGTAAATGAAACTTGGCTCGACGCAAATATTCTCCCATAAAGTGAATAAATCTTTTATTTTGTTTTTCTCCTTTTTGAGTTATTATTTGTTATTATAAATAGTGCTGAGTGATTTTTTTTTTGGGGAATAATTTTTCTTTCCTCTTTTTTGTCACAGAATTATGTCACAACTTGTATATCTGAAATACTTATTATTGTATTGATAGAACAAATATGAAGGATGATATACCTACGGGTAAAAATCCGAAATGAGAAATATTATGTACACATATATATTCAATGAAATATATTTAGTTATTATTATTATTACGTTCGTCAGCTTTGCGCAGTGGCGATATCGTAACCAATGAGGTTTATCCGAGGTGCGATTATTGCTAGTTGAAAACTTTTACCAATACCCCGCCGAGACCACGTGAAATACCGTGGGCTAAGGCAATTTTTGGAGGGTCCGAAAGGACCCCAATAATCTCTTTATCGTTATTTATTTACTTAGAAGTGTTATACACGTTAGTTTTGGTGTGTTGCGCTTCATTCTACATGTAGAATGTACAATGTACACAGTGTTGCCAGGTCCACCATAGAGAAAAACTGTAGATAGACCAAAAAAAAACTGTAGAAAACTGTAGATTCAAATTGAAAAACTGTAAATCTACAGTTTTATCATTAAATGATGGTAATATTATATAGTTATAATAGAATATTCATAGCAACTAACAAAATATAACATTAGTGGTATTTTTGAAAAAAAAAAGTTGAAAGCAATAATGATCTCTAACGGTTTTGTTATATTCATTCATCCCAAACATCGATGCCTATCAAAAAGCGATAATTCTTGAATATAAGTTTTTCATCGTAGCTTACACAATATATTGTATACTTCATTAATTATTTGTTATTTCATGTTATTATTAATAAAGGTAGATTTGAATCAAACTTAAACTAGTTGAGTATTAAACGAAACAAAATGCAATGAATAATTTTATCTAAAATATTGGTTATTAACATTCCGTAGGGTAAGTTATTGTAATGGGCCGAAAATCGAAATTGAAAATTTTTACATTTCTCGACGTTTTGAAGGTTTATGAACATTTTGGCATACCTCACAAAAAATGGTATGTGTGTGTGTGTGTGTGTTTGAGTGTGTATATATGTATGGATACAATTTTTTGTCCTCGTTTTCGGGCGCACGGATCAACCGATTTGAATGGTTCAAAATACATTCGACTCCTATTGATAGGGAGATGTGCTGATTAGTTTTTGGCAAAGGCAGATCCAGCCGATTAGGAGATACGGAACAAAGAGTGCAGAAAATAGAAATCGAGTTTTTGAGAAATCGGAGCGTCCGATTTGAATGATCCCAAAAACATTCAATTCGTAATGACGGGGAGAAGGGGTGATTAGTTTTTGGCAAAGGCAGGTCTAGCGGTTTCGAAGATACAGAGTTAAATGTGCAAAAAATTGCAGTTTTTGAGAGAACTAAGCGTCCGATTTAGATGATTCCAAAAACTTTCTGCTTGTTTTAACAGAATAATTGCTTTTGGAAAAAAAAATTTTGCTTCAAAATTTTTCTTTTTAATTTTTTTTTCAAAAAAAATTTTTTTTTTGTATATCGAAAATAATTCAGATTTTTATTTTAATTCTGTTTTAATATACTCTAAACAAATAATTTCAAATTTCCAATTATTTTTATATAATTTTTTTAAATATAAAAAGACAATGTTACAATATTTATAATAATCTATTTTAAAACATTTAATATTCCTCGATCATTTTGTTACGGTACGGGAAGTTCCAGCAATTTGCCTTAAGGCACGATGCCATGTATGCATACACCCCACTAGTTTAGATTATATATTACATTCGTAAATGTTGAAAATATGACTATTTGATAACAATATGTTTCCAACGCATTAACAAACCAGTTTTCAACTTTAATTATAACAATCTATTTTTTGTGTCGACAAATCGATTTAGATTGACTTACAGATACAAGAAATAACTTACAGAAGGAAAATATTTAACAACAGAAAGGTTGGTTAGTTAACGAGAGATAAACGGATAGCATTTCGCTTTTCGCCGCTAGTCGCGCCGTTTTTCTTTGCGTTGACAGTCAAGCATGAGCTATAAAGTTTCTCATATTAGCGTATACTATTAAAATAATCAATGACCATTACCTCTAGTTTAACAATAGTAGTTTTGTTGAAGTTGACTCAGTGCAACTGCCACTAAGTTCTGCATAACAAATAAAATAAACGGCGCTAGCACCTTCAGCAAAAAAAACTGTAGATTTCGAGCCCAAAACTGCAAAACTGAGATCATTCCCAAAAAACTGTAGATCTACAGTTAAAACTGTAGACATGGCAACACTGAATGTACATGCATATTTGAAACATAATGTTTCGAAAAACTTACCAATACTTTTATACAAATATCATATATTTCAATATAATATGAGAAATGAAAATATGTACAAATAAAATTCTAAGAAATTTAAGGCGCGAAGCTTAAAAAATTACTTCGACGTCTAACTGGGTGTTGTCGTTCTACTTTTCCTAACCACCACACTTTTAAAACTTTGTTCTATAATTGAACTATTGGTGTGATCAGTGATTATTTAACTAAAAGGCGATGTTTATTATAAAAAAAATATGGTGAATATAATGGCATCAGATAGTTGGTGTTTCTATACTGAGCTCTGAACTTATACTAAATAAAAAATGATTAAAAATTAAGATTAACAATATTAGCCCCGCCCGTAAGAGGCGGTAAGAGAGGTTACATTAATTTGTACATCTACAGGGAATGATTTCTTGGACTAAATATATCTAAGAAGGATGATTCCTTGAAATTATCTCAAGGCATTTGCAGACCCATAAATACAATTACCGACGCGGATATAGATAGTCCAGACATATAAATAACATCAAAATTAAAAATATCTTATATTACAAATGCATTTAGCACTTGAACTGTGAACGACATCCAGCCGAGAGTCTGCATAGTCCGGCGACACTATAGCGTAACAGACGACTCTTACAAAAAATAGTTCATATTACACTATTGGAACTCCAACGATCATAATATATTTTACGAATTCTTAACAAAATTTAATAAAAAAATATGTTCTGAAATATGAATTGAATTGACTTTTTACAATTTCATTATTTGTTTTTTACAATACAATGAAATGTTTTTCTAACAATTCTATGATATTCGTATATAAATTGGTTACAATTTCATTATTTGTATTTTTACAGTACAATGAAATATATTTTTTTAACAATCCTATGATATTTGTATAAAAATTACAAATAATGTAAATTTTATTGTATGTTTGTTGATTGTTGTTGATCAGAATCATTTATAGTAAAACTAGTTGTGTATGGCATCGTACCTCAAGGCAAATTGCTCGAACTTCCAGAACGAAACGTAACGAAATGTTCGAGGAATATTAAATGTTTTCAAATAAATTAGATTAAGATAAATACTGTAAAATGTTCTAATATTTATTAGAATTATATAAACTGAATTACAAAGTTGAAATCATTTATTTAAAGTATATAAGAGAGCTTTAGAACGTTAGCGAGTATTGAAATTTGGAAAAAAAAATTGTAATAAATAAAAAAATCTCCAAAAGCAATTATTTTGTCAAAACAAGCAGAAAGTTTTTGAATCATTCAAATCGTATGCTTAGTTCTCTCAATTTTTTGTACATTTAGCTCTGTATCTTCGAAATGGCTGGACCTGCCTTTGGCAAAAAATTAATTACCACTTCTTCGCAAGATATGCAAAATTTTTAATTTTCGATTTATTTGCGATTACTATAACTTACTCTACGGAAAGGTAATAAATATTATATAAAAATTCATCATTTAATTTATGTGGACCTCTCCAACATATGCAATTTACTTTAAGGCGAAATTACACCCAGTTCATAAAATCCACATAATTTTGTAAATGAAATTTTATGATAATCATGCATAAGTCACGTTACATTGTAATGATTGAATTTTAATATGTTTACATTCTATATATTAGAATAAAAAGTCCAAGCTGAATTTATTAGCTTCTATTTCTTAAAGGCATTATGTAATATTTAACAAAACATAATATTATTATATTTTTTTCTAGTGTCTATTCAGAACTCAAGGCACTCGCCGCAGGCAGTGGCCACCATCTCGGGATGAAATCTTATGCACTGTAAATAGAAGACCAGTATATGCTCGATTTTATTTCATGGATGGACAATATCAAAGTGTGGAATTCCATGCTTCCTGCACAGCCAGAGATGTTGTCGAATTAGTTAGAGAGAAGATTGGTCTGCAGGCTGATGCTAAAGGTAACACTATAAGATCGAAGATCTTGTCGGTTTTTCATTTTTTTAAATTTATTTGCTATTTGACCTACAATTTTAACTTTAATTGCTGTTCAGAGGTAAAAACTATATTAGAGAACATATGCTGCACACCCAATACAGATAATTATTTTGTGGACCTGTGAAATTATGTGTTATGTTACATAATATGTTCAACACCTAGTCTATTGAATTATACTTTTAGACGTTTCTGAAAGTTTTGTTAACAAGTAAATTTTATTTGATTACGTGAAGTGTTTTATTTATTATTTTTTACAAATTTTAATTTAATGATGAAATTTACTTATTTTTTATATTTACTACTATTTTAGGTTATGCAATATATGAAGTCTTGGGCACATCTGAAAGAAGTTTAGTACCTGATGAAAAAGTTGCTGATGTGTTATCTAAATGGGAAAAATATAGAACAGCTACACAACAAGCATTACAACAGAGTCAGGTATAACTTATCGATGTGATAAATACTTTTAATAAAGATGTGATAAAGTTGTTAAATCTACATATTTAACATATTTCGAAACACTATTGCGGTATGTTTATAGTCTGCTTTATCCTATAGTTGTGCAAAGCTAATATTTGATCAATTTTGTCATTTATCAGCCTACATTTTTATTGATAATTTAACATATAACTTTTATATATATCTGAGAAATATAAATAATTGATTAACTAGGTTTTTACTTATTGATTAATTTTATTTGTACATTAATATTTTCAGGCTGCTAATGGAACTTCGACGTTACCGAAACAATGTAGAAGACAGCATCACATATTTTATTCAAAAAACATCTGTTCCTAGATCAATATATGAATCTTCGAGATCCTGTTGAAAAAGAATTACTATATCATCAAGTTTTGCATGATCTAAGATCAGATCGATTCCCCATTACTGATATGGAAGCTGTAAGTATATTAAAATGTGTAAGAATTGTTTATTTTGGTTTTATAGTTTTTTATTATTTTAAAGATCTCGATTGATATTTTATATATATATTCGATATAATTGATATACTTTTCTATCGAGTCATATTAATAAATTGCTGGATTAATTTTTATTTTTGCAGGTTATGCTAACAGCTCTTCAAGCGCAATTGGAGCTAGGAGATCGGCGTGAATCTGCTTCTGCAGAAGATTATAGATCAGTGGCTGGACATTGTTTACCTCCAAGACGTGCCAATGATGTATCTGCAGACGATGTTGCTATGCATCATCAGTCGTTGAGAGGAATGACAGCACCAGAGTCAAAGCAGTCATTCTTAAACCTGATCAGGAGTTGGCCACTTCATCGGGCTACTATATTTGATGTCATGGTAAATTTGACTACCAATATATTATCATTAATATCGTAAACAATTGAGTCATTTAATTTATATTTTATTAGCAATCATTCACCTCGAACTGGCCTCGTGTTCTTTGGTTGGCTGTTGATCAGGTTGGATTGCATCTTCTGGAGCACCGATCCAGGAATGCTTTGTGTACTTACGAATACGAAAGTATTGCTAGCTATAGTCCCGCCCTGAATTGTTTGATGATAATCACAGGCAGTGGAAAGAAGCAGAGCAAAGTTATATTGACTACTTCTCAGGTAATACTTGATTCATTTTTCAGTTTTGCTTGTTTGTTGAGATTTTTTTTTATTCAATAGTATATTACATAAAGGAAATGTGAGTAATTTGGATTTTGGGTATTTATCTTATGGTAATAATACTTATTATTATTTAATCATTTGAAACATTAGTAATATAAATTAAATAAATTATGGAAAAAAATCACATAAACCATATTACAATGTTAATTCATTTATTTTTTAGTTATATTGTTATAAATTTTTCATTATTTATAATCAAATATTCTAACTTTTTTATACTTATTAATTAATATTTTTTATAACTTATAAATGATAATAGTTTGGGTGCATAAGTACTACTTTTATAATCTTCATGCAAATTTTTAATTTTTATAATATTTTTATACAAGAAGTATTTATTTCTTATTTTCTTTATCAGGCTTTCCAAGTAGCAAATTTAATCAAAGAGTACACAGATGTAGTTCTAAGTCCTCAAGAAGAAAAGGCGCCACCACCTCCGCCACATAATGCAAATCAGACAGGTAATAATTTAGTTATTATACTAATTGTAACATAGACATTGGGCACGTCACCCCTTGTATATCGTACAGTTTAAAATAGTTTTCAGTTTTCATTATTTTTATTATAAAAGTGTGTTTTTATTTGGAAGATAATAAAAATAATGATGATAAATTGTAGTCTGTCCGAAGGCAGGTTCATGGTTTGAGAGCACCACAAGTCAATGATTTCCTTTTTCTTTCCCTTTTAACTTCCCGTCCGATAAGTTATAGTAATCACAAAATAATCAAAAATGAAATTTTTTTATATATTTTTACGTTTCAGGGGTTTCTGAAAATTTTGGCATATTAGAAAGGATGGATGTGCGTGTGTTCGTGTGTGTGCTGATACAAATTTTCGTCGACGATTTTGAGAACACGGTTCAACCGATTTCAATTATTCAAAAAACATTCGATTAGGTGGATGCTGATTAGTTTTTGGCAAAGGCAGGTTTAGCGGTTTTCGGAGATCTAGTAAAAAAAAAATGAGAAAAATGCCATTTGACGGTCAAAAATGATCATTAGACATATGCATATCATATTCTCAGATATTTTATGGAGATTTTAATGATACGTATACCATTACGTTTACATTTCTATGGGTTCCGTAACATCGCTTGTACGTTAGACGGCGACGCGGCGCTTACGCGCTTCGATATTTCGTCTCTTTACAGCTAAAGCAGTGCGATTGCTTTAAAAAAAAGTTCAAAATTTTCTAAATATGAAAAATATCTAGTTTCTCGAAAAAGTAATTTTTTTCAAAAATTTTAAGGACCTTAAAAATTTTCAGAGTTCTCAAATAAAATTGTCTTCTTGCCTTCTTGCCTATCCTTTTAATCCTCCAATTTTACCTTCGACTGCATCCTGTAGAATTTTTACATTACATCTGTATTTTTGCTGATTGGGGTCGATCCAATGTCCTTTCCTTTTTCGTGCTCGATCTTGGAAGTTATGACCATTTTTCATATTTTTAGCAACAACTGCTTAATCATTAGTTATAAGTCAGATATTTCCAATTGTTCAGTTAAAGCAGTTTTATGTTGTCTTTGTTTTTGTTATGGAAGTTTTCTTTGATTTTTGAAAAATATGATTTTTCGTATTTATCACTGTTTCTGATCGCTTAATTCATAATAGTTCTCGGTTTTGTTTATTTTTATTATATGTTTTTTTACAATTCTTTGAAATTGATGATTCTTCCTAATTTTAGCAACCACGGAAACGAAGAAACCACCGAAATCTCGAGCTATTACTTCCATTTTGCACAAACAATCAGGAGCTCAACTGGTAACACCGCAACCCAGCTAAGTTATTTATTATTTAATTTTTAACTGATTTTAATTAGTTAGTGATATTTTATTTTTTGGCTAAAGATATATTATTTAAACATAAGAGTTAAAAATCTTAGATAAATATAAACGTGTATATAGAAATTATTCAGATCCATATTATGGATCTGTTCAATCATAAAAATATTTAATATGGGTCAGGAGAGTTAATTAAATGATTTTATCTTTTAAAAACCCATTTAAAATAAATATTGCTATTGTCTTATCACATACAAATATAAAAACGTCTGTTTAATGCAATTGATTTAAATTTTGCTGGCATTGTTCGTTTTTAATTCTCTCAAAATTTTAAATATTTTAAATAATTAAAATCTAAATAATCAAATATACTCAATAAAACAATTCAAATCCCTTGCCTGGACTGTAGTTGTAGATATTTTTTATTGACCTATTCAATTTTTGTCACAGAGAAAACAATTGGCTTCATTAACGATTTTTAGCCATACTTTCATGTCGATTCATTTTTTACACCTCGGAAATCAAATATAATTTTCTGTTTGAGCTTCATATTAACAAATGGCGTTTTCTTGATCTGAAATGACACAAAGTTTGGCAGTTTTAAGCGAGAAAAAAATTGAATCGATAAATAAATATATACATTGTTAGCATATGATTTGACTTCGCAAGACTTAATTTTTATTAAGTCACCTATATATATATATATATATATATATATATATTGAAATCTTTTGCTTAGATTTATTTCGATTTTAATCAGTATTATTAAAATGAAATTAGTGATTTAGCTGTGACATAAATGTTCTTATATATAGTTGCTTAATGCAAAATTTTCCACTAAATCAAATATAATCAAAGAAATTAATGTTCAGATGATAAATTTCAAAGTGCTATGTGCCAAACTTTTTTAAGGCACAGGTGGATGTTTACATTTTAAATTATTAATTAGTTGAATGCCGCACATATATACTATAACATAATTCTTATCATCTGAACATTAATATTTGATCTTATTACATCAATAAGATCATATATTTGATCATATATGATCAATCAGGATCCGAATGATTCTGATACTGTTTCTGATTTTGATTTTTCATACTAGTGTTTTCCATAAGGATATTTATATGTATTTAGCAGAACTAGTCAATAATTTAAGATTAAGTCTTTAATTAATACACTCAAATGACTACGTATACTAAATTTTTTGTTCAATTTCACATCATTTTAAACGTTTAAAATAGCTACAAATTTACAGAAAACTGCCGATATCTTACACAATATAACTTTTTACACAATTTTTACAATTTATTAAATTTGACTAATATGACTAATATTACTAAAGTTCAGTCATAAAAATATGCAGTTGGGTCTAAAATTTGCACAATGGTGAAGTGAATTCATAGATTATTTATCGTTCTTTTATACTTTTATATGACTTTTTGTAATTTTATATAGCGATTTCGAATTTTTTATAGTGCCGAATTTCCAATTACTAATTAAGATTCAAATCGTAATCGTATACCATTCGCACCAGTTTTAATTTTTTTCGTGTTTATATTATATGGACATAGCTTTTTGATAAATTTAGTTATTTGATAAATTTTATCCTATCAATTTAAAATATTTGGGAAAATACTAAAATTGAATTGAATCACCGGAACGTCTTGCAAAACAATCAAGAAAATATCAAGAATATTTTTTGATAATTTTTAAAGAACATTTCAAACTATAAATTATGATATTAATGTACTAATTTTAATATAATTTTGTAAGATGGTTTATAGGTTTTTTATTTCAATTATAAATGAGATTTAATTTATATTTTACATGGCTTTTTAAAAATACTTTTTGAATGAACATCTAAACTTATATTCCAAAATAATTTTATCAATTTTGAAACATATCGAGGTATCAATAATTATCAGTTTATATGAATATTTAACAATGTACAAATATATTATAATATTTGTAATATTCTTTTCATCTTGAATTTTTGGCTTGTATGCTATTAAAAATAAACGGTAAAAAGCTATGTAAAATAAAAAGATGTACTGCTCAGAATGATTTTTTTAAATTAATCGAACTCGTCATACAGGTAATTTCCTATATTTTTGATAGAAAATGGATTTTTTATTATGAATGAGCGAAAATACAAGGAAACATTCAATTCATCGTTTGATTAGAAAGATTCTATATTTGATAATTCAATGATTCATTATATTTTTGTATGGTTATAGTTGAAAATTAAATTGATTATTTTGAAAATGAAAAGAATTTATATTTTGTACACAAAATAATAATCCGCATAATAATATTACTGATATTTTAATCATAATCATATTTCATCAATACGTATACTGCTAGCTTAAATTTTAAATGCTAATCAAATTATCTTCGAATATGAAAAATAATATGCACAGATGTATTAACTGCCATAATATATAGCATTACAATGTTTATGCCTTTATGCAATTGAACAATTTTAAAATAAAAATATATTAAATAGTGTATTAATATATTTCAAAATATGTGAAGCTGTCCATATACGTGAAGAATATTCGGTGCGAATTCTCCGGTAAAATAGACCGAAACATAGCGTTGTTATGGCAACGCCATGTTGCGCCTCTTTCTTCATATAAATTGGTAGTAGAAACTGTCAAAATGCTATGTATTTGTGTTTTAGATATAAAACCTAACTTAGAAAACGCACACGTCAAAAAAAGAACTTTATCATAACTGCATTTTGAAGCTTTTACTATGTTGCCATAACAACGCTATGTTATCGTCTATTTTGCCACAGATTTGGCTCCTTAATCTTTCTTAAGCTAAGTAGGTAGACAAAATTGGTAAAATTGATTCGGGTATTGATTTTGCACGTTGAATATACTTCAGCAGCAAGTATCATTTAGTTGTAATAAGAAGTAAAAGAGTGGAGGTAAAAATTCTCAAATTCTGAAAAATATATATTCAATAATGTTGTTTTTATTTTGATGATTCGAATGGTCTTACTAGTTTAAGGAAGGTTATGCGTGTTAATATGTATGAAAAAGTGGTCAATTATGATGATCGGAAATTATGTAGCAAGTCGATGCTGCATGAATTTTTAATTTATGGGCCGATTCTGCCGCACAACAGACCAATGTTATGGCAAGGCCATGTTACGATCCATGTTCCATACATTATGGTACTGAATCATACTGAATACTATGAAAATGTCATGTATTTGCTGTGCTTTCAGGCGTTTTACACATAAACTGCAACGTCACTCGTATGTTATGAAGTTGGGTTAGAAAGGCCCTGTTATCTAAGATCTTCCTTTTGATATTTGTGCGGTTTCTAGGTTAGGTTTTCTATCTGACAACTTGAGAAAAACGCCTGACTGCATAGCAACCACATGGATTTTGTCAATATTTAGAACGAATTAGTATGGAAAGTTTTTCATATCATAGCCTTGCCATAACATTGGTCTGTTATGCAGCAGAACCAGTCTCTTAGTTTACCTAAACCCAAAAATTTATACATTACATTTTACATTTATTCGATAAATGTGCTCTTCACGTTTATCTACAGTTTTACTTGCTTCTAGTTTAATTGTGACAATTTTACCTGAGGTAAATTTAGAACGAATTAGTTGCCTAATTTAATTATAATTGTGCAATACGTTTTGCAACCAAATATTATATAAATGGTAAAACGTGGATGTCATTGGTAAAGGTTTCCATCAAGTTTTTGTGAGAATAATAATTTATAGCTAGTTATCATAAATTCATTGTGAATTGATTTATTAACAATGATACCAATTTTGGTAAAAATAGTATTTCAATGCTTCTGAAAAGTTTATTCAGGGTGCCCCAGAACTCAACGTCAAACCGAAACTGGGGTGATTGATAGTAGATCGTAATTAATATGAAAAAAAAAATAGAAAAAATAGCATGTTGTTTGAAAAGTAGTCTTAATTAATAGTTAATTAAACTCAATAATGTAACAAATAGTCTTAATTTTAGAAAACTTGATTGTTTTGCCATTATTTTTGACTATGGTCCTTAAAATGCTATGGTTACGGATTCAAAGTTTTATTGAACAAAATTAATAAAAATTAACTTCAATAATTAAAACATGATCACAATCTTACTGAAGTTTGCACCCAAAACTTTATAATTTTCAAAGTACATCATTTTTTCAATTTTTTTTTATCAATACTGTCACCCTATTTAAGTTGGATCTTGAGTTCTGGGACACCTTGTATATTAGCGACTAAACAAGAATATTATGGGCCTGCAAGAGGTTGGAAATTAACATTTATTTTGAGAAAGTGACATATATAAAATTAGAAAATTATGAATTTATTGAAAAAAATATTAGTTAATAGTTTTTATTTAAACCGAAAGTTATGAGTGTAGCCAGGGGTCATCTAAGAATTATTGCACAAATATAATTAAATTTAGTCTTTAATGAGTTCTGAATAAGTTCACAAGATCTCAACATATATGTATTTTAAGTTTGCAATTATCGACCTTCAATCTTATATATACATATATTATATGTTATATATATATATATATATATATATATATATAAATTTATATACGTATTACCTAGTTCAATTTTAGATAAATAAAATTGCTAGATTAAATTTTTAGATAGAATCATTTGGTTTCATGCCAAGAAATTTGTTTGATAATTATGAACTATCAAATGAATTTCATTATTGTACAGGTGTACCTATAGTATAAATACCTATGAAGTAATTTATACATCAAAAATTAGTTTTCCCAAATGACCTTAATTGGAAATTTGAAATAAATCTCAATGTCTTAAAATTCACAGTAGTTAAGAAATATATCAAACGAGTAAAAAGATAGCGATTTATTTCATAATACTTCTTATATAAAAATACTTCAGTATTTGGCGAAATCAACTTAAATTAACCAAATTAGAATAATTTCCAAAAATGATTGCAATCAGCAAATTTCAATGAAATGGTAAATGAAAATTATCTCTTTCTATTTGCTTACAGAAATATATGAAAATGGTATTTAATTTAATATTAGTATTTAATTTGGTCGACTCTTCTGTAAG